TTTCTCACCCTAGTGTAGGAGAGTGTGGCGTTGTGGTGCTGCGTGTGAAACTGCACAGTGATGAAAGCCACCTCTGGGGGGATCCTGGAGACAATGGCCTGCACCGTCTCGTTCTGGGAGACGCTCACGTTCTGAAACGTTCCGGGCAGGAAAATCACTCGGTCTGAGAAAGAGAGGGCAAAGTCACATTGGTCTCCATAAATCAGTGGGTTTTATTTATACATTGTGCTGCCTATGAACTGCTCTACTACAGTGTGAACGCATAACCTGAGCTTTATAAGCTCAAGTAGCATAAAATGAAGTAAATGTATAACTATTCATTTAACACTAACGATACAAGCAGCTTAGCTCCAAATATTTCCCAAAATTTAAGAACATCTTTGACGGTGTTTGGATCATGACTACACTGACACTCTGCATCAATCTTCAACTATTTAATGCAAAAAATATTAAGGATAGTGAGTTGATTTATAAGTTTATTAACTTAAAAATCGTAAAGGAAACAAATAAAATCTGTTAACCTGATCAAATACAAAGAAATGGTTTGCAACAACGAGAGAAATTCGGAAAACATGAACAGAGAAATGTACCCTGCAAAGAAGATGCAATTTAAAGACGTGTTTTGCTAAATATTTTCTTCATTTTGAAAGTACCAGGAAGCCTCCATCCTAAACAAACAGGTTGATAGAAGTGAGATGAACATTATTTTATTTAATTGTAAGTGAAATCAGAGGTTAACCAATATGAGATTTTATTTAGATGGTTCTAATGTGAGCTCATGTCCTGAGCTGGTGGGGGGTTTGGTACCTCTCCAGCTACCAGACTAATTCTAGACTTGGTCCGCGGGGAGGGTATTTGTTTTTTTTACCAGAATCCCACTGTGATGTCACAAGGAGAGCAAATTTGAAACAGAGCATTTTTCTCTGTGTTGTAAGACTTATGCAGACCACAAACAAAGGGACTGGATGGATTTATTTCACATTTTGTGGGTCAGTAGAAACTCAGGTTAACCAGATATATGTTCAAAAACACTGTACAAGTGGATTTTCCACAATATGTCCCCTAGTAAAGGTTTGTTACAGTCTCGGCAACTTTGGGAATGGAGGTGAAGCAGCCATGATGACAACATATGGGAAAACTGTTGATTCGCTGAAGTCATAAACTGCAGACAGTTGGTGGAAAGCCAAGGAAGCGACCTTAAACCTGGTCAGAAATGTCAGAGTGTCATCTTACAGAGAAGGCTGAATGAAAAACACTCTGTTGAGTAATAAGGTACCATGCCTTAATACTGAAGCAAGCCGTCCCCATGTGCTTAATTATGTTTCTCACTCTATTCTCTCAAAGCTGTATGAACATTTTTCATCTCCAGATCTCATCACGCACGCTGCAGTGAATCTGAAGCTAATAATCTTTAAGCAACATGTGAGGTTTTCGTTTTGAGATGCTTATATATAGATAAACATAAAATCATACCACATCTGTAACATTCAGCAAGATAATCAAGCACGAGCTTTTTCATACTCAACTTTTATCTGAAACCTTTGAGCAGGCCAGCCCTAAATCATATCGTCCTGTGATCATCTGTACAGACGGTTTTCCATTGATATTTCAAACACACTGTGCTAAATTAACCCAGCATGGATGTATTTAACCCGTAAGTAACTGTTTATCTGGAACACTTGATCACTTCAAATGATTAATCTGTAAATAGCGATGATCCACCGAATGGATCGGACACATTTAATCTGAACAAGAAAATACAAAAATATACGACAAGCAGCTTTGCAGAAGCTTGAATTTCAAATTAACCACTTCCTGTATTATTCAACAACAAATACTAATAGCAGACATGTTTGCAGAGGTTGTGACTTTAACAGAATCCAGAGGGTAATTTCCCCCACAATCATTTCATCCCCAGCAGTCCTGTCGAGTGCTGATCTTTAACTCACTTTATCACTGTGAGAGTGAACTTTCCTCACTCTTTGTCATCTCTCCTGATCTCTCACATTGAGTTCAGTCGGTCTTAAAGTTTCACTGTTTGCTGACTAAAGCTTTTAATGTTGGCTCACTCACTTGCAACATAACCTACAATCATTTCTCGTAACATGGGTTTTATTTTGGTAATCCTTGCAAGACTGGGGACTTAAAATGACATCATTCTAAAGCCTACATTTCAATAACATTAAACGCTTTAACCATTCACAGGTTGCATTGTTGATTTATTTGTAATGTGTCAATAGAACGTGACGTCATTCAGTGTTTATTGGGCCTAAGATAACTTTCACAGGTGCATGTTTGGTAAAAAAAAAAGAAAAGAAAAGGAAATGTTCAGAGCTTAAGAAGCTGGCATTAAAGACTTTCAACCTTTATTCTTCAAAGTTAGCAGTTGATTTAGCAGACAGCTACAATAATGAAGCAATGCAGCTCCATTCAGTGACATAATAAACAACACTGTTCTGATTTGATTATGTGTATGGTCGTGTGGTATCAAGAAAATCAGTGGATTTATTGCAGGTGAACACATGCCATCTGATTTCACTTGAATGAGGGGAAACAGAGTGAGACAGAAAGGGCTTTGTAGGTTGAAGTCAAGGATATGTACAGTATGTCTGCATCGGTTTATTTTTTAGGTTGACTAAACACGCTGAACAATTAATTCAGAATCAGAGCTTTATGGAGTTTTCTAGTCCCTTTACCTGCTCTGCATTTATTCATGACAAGAATGCATGATTTAGAAATACAATATATTTGACTGATTGTTTTTTTTTTACGCCGAGTCCAAAAACAGGCTTTTAAAACAACATCAAAACGAAAAGTAAACACTGAACAATAACAATGGTAACATAACAACCCAACCTCCTGATGTTTCTCCAAGGCCTTAGAGACAAATTATGGCCAGCTCATTAACAACCACTCCATCCTGTCATCATCAGGACTCACAAAAGATTTCAGGAGTTTGAGTGTACATTACATTCATCAAAAGGTGCTCTTAACTCATCATTAAAAGGGACAATACAAAATAAATTAGACCTCTCCTAAGTCACACAGGTTATACCCATTCTGTGTTCCTCCGGGATGTTTTTACATTATCAGTCTTGAATGGCTGTTTTTGGTGCTTTCTCAATCTGCCTTTAACCCAGTAACAGGAGGGTTCAGGGTCCCATGAGTTGCTAAATGTCTTTTCCACAGTGTCAAAACCACTCCATCAAACTCTTCATATTTAAAAGCTGACATTACAAACTGGCAACTTGAGCTGTAGTCTGTTTCTTGCAGCCACATCCAGGATAGAAAAAACACCAAATGTCTGCTTGATATCATCTTAACTTGCTCTTGCTGTTTTTTCTATCCATCTGTGTATTCACTTTACCAGAGTAAACAGTCTCTTCACTTGATTTCACAACCCATTTGTTTACAGTAGCTTGCTCACTGTTTTTGTGGAGACCTGTATCAATATTTGGACAGAGATGGCTGAACTTTGATTATTCTCTATATGACCTTTTCCAAGATGCATCATATGTGATCTCAGTGCATGTAAACTGTAAACCTCTCAGATGCTGTTACTGTTCTTATACATGCCAGAGGGACAGTGAATAAATACAAAACCATAATACTCTGTAATAAAAATGTAAACATGTAGACTATTAAAGACATATCTTCAACGCTGAGCCTGCTCTGCAAGGACCCACACAACACATGAACTGAATTAAATTAAATATTCGAAATATTAAACAAGCTCATACATAACACATTTCTTATCGATTTCAACAGCTGACTATGTCAAATTACATTTCCAAAATTAAAAACCATAAAATCGTTTATCTCTACGGACTTACTTTCCACTTGAGCCTCAACTTCAGTCATCACGAGAAGCAGCAGCAGAGGCAGCAGGAGCGGGCACCAAATCCAGCGACACATTTTCTTATTCCTCTTCGTCCTGTACAAGAAAACAAAGCGTCTGTCTATCTGCTGGACTGTAAAATCATTGGTAACCTCGCAGTCTTCTGTTTTTGGGCTGTAGGATTCCCTGAAAGCACGAAGGCGACATGCTTGACTGAACTGTGAGGCTCTCAAGGACAACAACCTTTCCCTCTCTGCCGCTCTGCCGCTCTAACTGCTGGACGATGCTATCACGAGACTCTCGCACTTGGTCTCGCGATAGCCCGCGCCTCCTTCTATTATTATCGGATTAACCGAACCTGTTACTTGCAAAAACCAAGAAAAAGGACCGAATAAAGATATACTATCTTTGAGTTTCTTTCTTGGTAATTTGTTGCGCTTTCATGGTGATGTCTATCATTCAGTTTTGTTTTGATACTGCATGATATTTATTGAAAATGCCGACGTAAACTCAGCATACTGTAAACTTTTGTGCCCTCTATATGTGAAATATCTAGCACAGTTCTTCACAAACAATACTGTTTCATTACCCAGATTAAAATGTTTGTTTTTCTATTTTATGACTTAAAAAAACAACAACAACCCCATGACTGTTTACTTGATTTCCATTGTTCCCTCCATTTGTTTATGGTGTACCAAAAGACAAGACAAATGCCTTGAAATCATAAAAATGACTTTCCAATCAATCACATACAGATTGTGATAGGCTTTTAGGCTTTTGTGGATCTGAAATACAGAGGCAGACGGAGCTCTTTGTTAACATCTACCCTAGCTAGCCACATATAAAAGAAAAGTGTACCAAATTGCTGCTGGTTAATTCTATAACTTTTACAGAAATGTTCATATTTTGGTAGGTCCCTTTCAAATACTACCTTTATTTTTCGTTGCAGCCACTGGCAAAAGGGGTAGTTGGGTGTTACAGCAGATCCTGTGTGTTGCATAAAGTTTCTATTCCTCCTATCAGCTGCTTATAACATTATTTAACAAAAACAAATAGTGTAAGTGAGAAGTTTCGAACCCTCATAGGCAGCCCAAACAAACCCAGACACTATCAGACATAAGAAAGTAAAAATGAAAGATGTATAAACCAAGCAGAGACACAGTCATGTTTACAGATTTATTTTGAATCAATCCCTTCTCTTAGACATTCACACTTTCAAACCTTACAGGCACCCCGGAACTCATGCATTCAAGCAAACATAACAGAAACACTGTGTCTGAATCACCAGACAGGAGCACAGCTCAGGAGCATCATGCTGTAAATGCACCAGGAGGAGATGGTGAAAAAAAATTAAGTGTTATGTGGCAACACACTGTAAAGACTGTACACAGTTGTGGCAGCGTTAAGGGGGGGGGGGGGATGGGCGCTCTAACTCTTTCGTAAACTGACGTCAGCGCTCGTAAGCAGTGGTGACAGTGAAGTGTTCTCTGATATGTCGTCTCTCTTCAAAACGAGGAAAGCTTCTCGACTGATTCCCAGCAGCTCTCGTAGTCCGTTGTTCTCCAGCTTAAAAACAGAAATAGAAAACATTATCAACATAATCATTAAAATCAACCATTACCATTAAGATGATGCTACCGGGCTTCTCATTCAATGCTGCATTCGTAATAACCTAAACAGTAAGTTAGACATGTGGTACAAAAAGAAATCACATGCCTCCATGTGTCTGCTTTGTTATTCAATCAGTAAGTCAAAATGCAAGACTACATTTCGACACTTTGCTGGAATTCATGAGACAGCTTAGTATTTTTTAAGATTGATTTTTAGGAAACAACATTAGACCTTCACACATGCAGGGGAAGAAAAGAGCTTGTGATGAGCTCGATGAGAGGAGAAAGTTGTTTTTGAGACCATGATTTCAAAATTCATAATTGATTTGAGAAGCTACTGACAGATGGTGGATTGTTTTTAACGGTTAATTCTTGAGGGAGAAAGACAACGCAGCTCTCACTTGTTAATGTAGAATTGTGGATAATCAATGAAGAGAGCAGAGGTTTAACAAGAGGATAAACATGAGGGCCATGTCGAGTAATTTGGCGTTCAGTGTGTGACTGAAGATTACTGACTGATAGTGAGTGAATAATGTTTCAAATCTAACCCCTAATGATCTGTGTAAAGTCTTCTTTCAAAATCTTGTGAGGCTGAACAAAAATGTATCCATGTGCAGATGCAATGTCTTCAGGTGATTTTAAAGAATCGAGTCATTTAAGGTTTTGCACTAACATCCATTAGAGTCTGTTTTATTTGTTTATCAACAGTAGGATTTCCATACATGCTGTTGTTACTTTATCGTATCAGAGTAAGGGGGGCTTCTGTTATTTTAACCTCTCCTGCATGTTAATGGTGAGGTTAGGCCTGTTTTAATGTGACCAACATTTCTCAATACTTCATGTACTGTACACTGAGTTGGTGTTTTTTCTTCTATTTCTAGCTGACAGTTTTCACTGACATGTACAGGTAAGCTTTCCAGGACCAAAAGATGTCTATCAGAGAGTGGCATGTAGATAAAATAAAGATTTATTTGTTTTTTTGTCCTGCTGGTGGTACACATGGAACAGAGTAGGACATTTTCTTTTACCTCTAACTGTTTAATCCTCTCCTCGTCTTCACAGGTCCTGCCTTCATCCACCTCTATCGCCTTTCTCATCACAGAGGCCATCTCGTTGATTTTGTCTATGTGTGCTTGCATTTCCTACAAGGGTAAATATATACATGACAACAAAAATACAGACTGAATACAGACTTTTAAGTTAACAATCAATGGAAAAAGTAAGGGTGTAAATAATAAGTTGAGTGGAACATCAGATATTTACTACATTTCCAGGTGATTATACAAGTAGTTCTCACTGACCGTGGTGTGCTGCTCCTTCAGCTGGGTTACAATGGCTGGGTCGTCTCTCTTGCTGGTCATGAGGAGCCTAAACACCTGTTCCCTGTATTTGGTCATTATAAGCTCTAATGCAGACTGATGTTCCTCCAGCGACGTCCGTAGCTCTGCACAGAATATGAACAATAATATGGGTTAATGTAGAATGAAGAAATGCAGAAACCCTGGAAAAGAACATCTGGCAACTTTATCATGGCATACTTTGATTGGCTGCTAAATCTCAAATTTACAAAGAATCTCTATAAAGTTTGTGTATGTGTCCAACAATAGTCCAGAATAGCTATTCCATAGTCATGTGTTCTTCAAAAATGATCCAAAAAGCAACCAACAAATCAATCACCTGCAAAAAGAAATACAAATCAAGTTATCTGCCTACCTTTGTTTTCCTGCTGTAGCTCTCTTATCTGACGGTTCTCCTGTTGGATTCCTAGAACCAGACTAGAACGTGGACGATGTCGTGCAACCAGGTTTAATGAGTCGATCTCCTCCTGGTACTGCAACCAAGAAATCACCAAACCAACTCATTAAAAAAAACTGAAAGGTATTAGTGGGAAACAGAGCTGTCTTGTTTAATTGGCACCACCAACACCTCGAGACATCATACCTGTTTCATGGCCTCAACGCGCTTGTTGAGCGACGTCGTCTGTTCAATTAACATCTCAGCAGCGTTGTCATGGTTACGAAGCCTTTCCACCAATGATTTGGCATCTGCCAGGACCTTCTGTATGGTACAATTCATGCCTGGGAATTTTGGAAAAGAAAGTCAGAGAAGAGGACTCTTTACTTCATCATCACATTGCGTTTCTGTTTAGAGTTAGGAGACATGCCAGGAAACTAATACCAGGTTAGTTCATAGTCCAGTGCCTTTTAAGAGATCCATAAATTCCAGTAGTGTAATAAACAAATGTGGTCATGTTATTCATTTGCTTGAGTCATTTCTTTGAAAGCCTGTAAAAAAAAATGTTTTATATCTAATTGTATGTCATGTGGTGGAAGATATAAAAGACAATTAAATGAAATATCCTGAAACTAACTCAGTCCTACCAACTTCCATTGACAAGTGTGTACTTTAATCAAGCTTTCATCTCAGGTGATACTCTGGATTAGTTAAAGAACATTACACCTAATCAGGTGATCATTACACAACTGACCTCAAGTGAAGAGTAGAGCTCCCAGTGTGTTCATCCGTAGAAAATATAATTATTAAATTAGCATTACCACAAAAAGAGACCACACTCACTAGAGCACATGATAAAACAGCAGGTTACTGAAGCTACTCTTCTCTTCTTCTGTCTTTACATGACAGCTGCAGTGTCAGCTATTTGACTCGAGCTAACTCTACACTAAAGTAAGAAATACACTAGCTGGTTCATTTTACGCCATATGAATCTTAGCTGTTATAAACGTAAGGAATTGACTCACACACATATTTGGCTCGATCACTAAGAGGATTAATATCAATCTCCAGAAACACATTCATGTTCTTTGCTAACATATTAGCTGATTTACAAATCCCACTAAAAGAATAAACAAGCTTCACAATACAAACCAGGGGGGTAGAAGCGGCCGGCTGACATTCAACAGAGTTCTTCCTAAATAAAAGTTATGAAGTTATTTAAAGAATAAACTTTTTGTACCTGGGGAACTCAAAGTGCAAGACATTGGAATTAGCCCGTCCGTTACTTCCTGTTGATGTTTGGTAGCTAACATTAGCTCCCGGCTAATAAGTATCCATTAAGCAGCAACAAGTAGAGGTTCCTATGCGACTCTGTTACGTTTAAAAAAAGAAAACGAACCGTTGTGAGGTTTGAAAACGTCGATAAAACACTAAAATCTTACGCTGCTAAGAGTCTTGAGGGGATTTAAGTGGCTAACGCTAGCCCCTTGCGAAATGCAAAGCAAAGCTACAGAAACAACGTAACATCCCGCGAGAGTTGGCGATACTTGGAGAGTTGGAGATTCTCGCGACGGACAGCGGGGTTACAACGGAAAAGATGGCGGACAGGTTAACACAATTGCAAGACGCTGTCAATTCGGTAAGGCATGTTTTATTAGTTTTAAAGCCACAACTATGACAGCATTTTGACTTTTTAGAATTAATTCAGTGTGTTTAATATTTTAAAGAAGTAGCCATGTGTAAAGTGACTCTGTAAAGTGAAACGTAAACATTGCTTTATCACCGAGTAGTCCACGGAGGAACAGAGAGGGGCCTGTTTTAAACTATCTTTAATTTAATTTAATTTAAAACAAGAAAGGGTAAACATTACAGATAGTCAGTAGTGGGATTAATGGAAAATAAATTACAATAGAACAATTAACAAAACAACAACAACAATCAGCTACAAATAAAAAATATCCCAAGAAAGAAATGTACATTAAAAGAGCAAATACTTAAATATATCAGAATAAAGTTTAATGGCCTTATTATTCTTTTTTCCATGTATTAAAATGATTTGTATTATTTGATATAGTAACACAGAGATAGGGGTGTTGATGCTTTTCCGTTTACAAGTATGTTTATGACATTTACCCTCAATAATAATAATAATAATAATAATAATAATAATAATAATAAGCTTAACCATGTCTGAAATGTTTATATTCAGTGTGTCACATGATAAATTATATCCTTATAGGAAAATGTATGAATGTTATCAGTATTTAAAACACACCAGCCCAAAATATTTTACTGTATGAACAATCAAAAGGTTTTATGGTTTTCACCACTGAGGAGAATAAAAACATAACTTCATAATTTAACCTTTTGTGTAAGAGAGGGGCCTGTTTTAGGAGCAAGTTTGGCTTTATGTTGTTCTGAACATTTCAAACATTTGATCCTTTAGATGTCTTCTTACTTGTAACAGAAGTAGTCGTAGGAAATTGCAAGCGGTAGGCCGACTGGCTTTGCCAACAGTGAGCCTTCTCCCTGTACATGACCGGCTTCATACAAAGGTTTTATAAGTTAGATAAGTTAGATAGATCTCATATTTACTTATTATTATTATTATTATTACTTATATTTACTAACCCTAACCCTAAACAATAAGAAAATGGATTTTGATTAACATTATTTTCATGTTTTGAAAATTGTATTCACACAAATCCATGTACAAGAAGGTGTATCCCAAATTCTGTGTAATTTTTCTGTCTGACTTAAAAGACGTTACAGTCGTGAAAAATGAAAATGCAAAGACATTAAAGAAGAATACAAATGACAAGAAAAGCCCTAGCTCTTTAAGTCATTTATTTTATCGTCAATATTATTTTATCATCTTCTCCTTTCATTCTTAATGTTTTGAATCTGCACCTGTGCCTTTTTTCATAATGTGTATTTATGAGGATGTCAGTGCCATGTCGTTGTATTGATTCAAGATGTTGTTGAGTTATTCTGAATGTAATCTAAATGGTGTTGTTTTGTGTCCAGCTTGCAGATCAATTTTGCAATGCCATCGGCGTCCTGCAGCAATGTGCACCTCCTGCCTCCTTCAGTAACATCCAGACAGCCATCAACAGAGATCAGCCTGCAAACCCAACAGAAGGTGAACATATGTTCGCCTGTCTTTCTTTTAACCTCTCTATCTCCTCTTTTAATACACGTTGCCTCCTACAATTCACTTGATTACTTTAGCTGTCTACTATTGATGTTTTTTATAGATTGGAGACGCCAGATGTGACTTGTCGTATAATAACATACGATTATGATATGAGCTGCTCTTTGGCATCATTTTCAACAACACAATTTAATGAACAAAGAAGAAGAATTCCAATCTTAATATACTGTAAAATCCAGTGTATAAGACACACTTTTGATACTTGTTTTTCATGTAGAAAGTTGGCTGCTTCTTATACCGGTGTTAAATACTGAGGCACGCACCGTCATTACTGTCAGTACAGACCTCACCGTCAAAATTTCATTGTGTATTGCAAGCTGTGCTGGGAAACATACCGACACTGACGAGGCTTGCAGCTGCACTTTTTAAACATCTTTACTCCGTCATGATGGTTGATTTAAAGCAAACTGTGGTAAAAAAAAAAAAGTTCAATAAATACAGTTTGTGGAGTCTAGGTTTGATTAAAAGACTCCTCAAATAAAGTCAGAGTGACCACAGGAGTTGGCGGCCTCACTCGAGGGACGAGGGTCTGTACATCACAACCTTCACCGTAGACTGAGAGCTCAACTACCGTACTGTAGCTAGTAGGAGTGCAAAGAGCGACACAGCTGCACATGGTAGACTTTGCTGAACACAATAGAAATCATCACGCAGGACAACAGTGTAAACCTTATTTCTCTCTGGGAGACCTCCAAAATCCAACTGAGACTAAAGAAATACTATCGTTTGTATCACTTTTTCCACTGACACACATAAAGGAATAATCCACATAAGTATTTGAATGTCATGTTGATGAATTCTGCTAGAATCTGAATGGGATATCATAACCTTTGGTAATGGAGCCAGCATGAGAACTGGGTTAATCTCCTTTTTAAATTCTTTGTAAATCATTAACTTTTCAGGGGGTGTGTTCTTGATTGATTTGTCCCATCTGTATGCCAATGATTTACAGGATAAAGAAATGCTTAATGTGTAACATTAACATTGAAATCTGCATCTCTGTCTAGAATACGCTCAGTTATTTGCGGCCTTGATCGCCAGAACAGCCAAAGATGTGGATGTGCTGATCGACTCTCTGCCCAGTGAAGAGTCCACGGCAGCCCTGCAGGTCAGCACCTCCACAAACACTACACACTCTACACGCTTTAAAAGGGAGGAATTTACACCACGGGCCAGATTGAATTTCTAGCTTTCAGTCAGCAGAGGGAGCTAGCTGCTTTCTACACTGACAGCTCAAAAATCACACATTATTGTCATTTTTGACCCTGCGTTTCTGTTTGTTTGGAAGAAGCCAGATCAATTTTCCCTTACTCCTAAATGTTTTTTTCATTTTGATGCATAAATGAGGCTCTTGGAAGTTAGTGTGGATTTTTAAAAGGCACTGCAGTTGTTGAAGGGCAAACAGGAGTCTCCAAACAGCCCTGAAATACAAATACAACTACTTATCACACATTTATTTTACTTTCTTTACTTTCTCTTTAATTTAATCTCATTGTTTATGTGAAAAGATAGAGGAGGCTTTGCATCTATTTCTGTGTTGATTCCTCCCTGAATATAGAATGTTTCATTTACTAGAGTTTATCAGATGACCCCTGCTGGACAACAGAGTTAAAAATATAATGCAATGATATGTTAAATACAGTATATAGATCAGAACCCACAGACTTGAAATGAATCCCGTTTTCATCAGTATGTGATCATATGGATGGACTTTTATGTAATCTGTGCGATCTTTTTAATTTGATGAAGTGATGCTCTTTCACCTCGACTGTTCATCAGTGTGATGTGTGTAAAGCTTACATTAATTTCTCATTGAGTTAGAGTGCAACCTAACCTCACAGTTTAGATTTAATGTGTCATGGTTTTTGTGATATAGCCTCTGAAATAGTTCATACATAATTAACATTAAAAATGCCATTTTTGGCAATAAAACAAAAATTACGAGCTACCAAGCTCCATTCAATCTACCCATTTAATGATAGTGATGATTTTGGTGACGATGATGATGGTTTTAGGGAATCACTGATTGATGTGAATCATAGTTTAAGCAGATGTATTCCCTTGTTTTTCCATCTGTTTGACTTTAACTTTACATTTTGGACCTCTTATCCTAAATCATTCAGTTTTAACAACATAGAAAGATGCATTATTGGGTTGTGTAAGAAATTAAGCTCAAAGGTATTACCCCATGCACATGTGTCTTTCATTGATTTAAAGATAACAAATACATTTTATCATTCTCTTGATGCATAAAAAAAAGACCTCTGACACCCTTCGTTGTGACTGTATCTGACCGACTGTGACCCCTCCCCAGGCGGCCAGTCTGAGACAGCTTGAAGAGGAGAACCATGACGCGGCAGCTCGTCTGGAGGAGGTGGTTTACCGTGGAGATATGCTGCTGGAGAAGATCCAGAGCGCCCTGGCTGACATCGCCCAGTCTCAGCTCCGCACCCGCAACGGAGCACCAACCCAGGCGTCGCCAGCCGAATCCTGACCCACAATGTACATAATGCAGCTCTGGACTCTTTCAGTCATTGTGTTCTTTATTTTTATCCTCAGACATCAGCTGTTAGCCCCCGAAGACTCAAAAATATGCTGAGAGTGAATGAAAAGGAAATGTGAGATGCCAGACAGTTAAACAATGAAACAGTTTATTTTTGTTGCACAGCAGCCACTGGCCTCGAGACAAATTCACTGAAAAAAAAAACTGAACGTGCTTGATGTCATCTTCAGAAACACTGATTTCCTTGAGGAACTCTCTACTGAAGCAGAAAGTTCTGTCAAAACTGTCTTTTTTATGTTCTATGTACAGTTTATGTTTTATATTGAATACGTCTGTTTTTGTGGATATCTTCATGTGGAGCATCTTCATCCTCCCAACAATGTTCAACACAGTTTAAAAACCGCTCAGTTTATTGTACATTAATATTAAATAAGTCTTGTTTGTCATAATAAAGCTTGAACAAACTCATTTGGTCCAACCTTTTGTAGCTTTATGTTCGCTGATGTTTAGTTTCACAGAGTTTTTTCTCCTACATCCTTTACAGTTACAAGCATTTTAATCCTGGAACATGCAGGATGTTTATTGTTGATGTTAGTGGGGGAAAAGCTCATCTGGATACTTCTTTTGTAAAAAAAAAAAACACTAAAAACTAAACTCATATAAAATCCATAAAACTTGTGTGTATGAATATTGTCTGTGTAGGTTCTCAGTCTTCCAGGTCATGGTAAATGTGAAGGCAACTGGACTGCAGCTAGTTGTAGATTTTGAAGACTTCACCTCTCCTCCGAAAGGCTTCTTCAGTTCTAAACCAACTAGAGGACGGATCTACAGAGACCCTGTACCAGTCCCACCTTGGGACATGTGACCCCCAACGACCCACAGATGACCAGGAAGGTTAACAACAACTCAGCTAACCCTCTCTGATCATTAGCATGCTAATGATGATGCTAATGAGGCTTTAATGTCTAGCTCCGTCCACCAGTTTGTGTAGGACTGAAGAAGCCTTTCTGAGGAGAGGTGAAACGTTTTTAAGATGTTCAACCAAGTCCAGCTGACTTTGGATGAAGCTTCTAATGTATGAATATTAATTATCTTATTTTCAATCCGATCTCACTTCCGGGTTTAAGGGAACGTCCCTTTGACCTGCATCATTCTTACTATTAACTGGTAATTAATGACTTAAAATAAAAAGCCCATCACAATTTTAGGTCCAGTTTCTCTTTCTAGCCAGAGGCCTCTGTGCATTTAGTGTCGAAATAGTTTGTGGTTAAAAAATGAAGATGAACTATAATATATGTCCAAGAAAGACACAATAATGCTGAACTGCAGGCTTACAAGCTGTTTTACAAAGCAAGAACAAATTACTGATTTAATTAATTTGATTATTTATTGTCTCATTTTGTACACAGTTAAGTCACCTAATCTTTTTGGTGTAAATACACAGTTTTATTGTCTTTCCCATCTTTTCTTTGCACAAGTTTTGTTTGAAAATAGTTCGAAGTCTGTCCCCAAATAAAGGCAGGATCATTTCATAGACTTATGTGAATAAAAGTCTAGGCTATTAGTAGAAGTTTTACACTAAGTTGACACTCTAAAATGTTTAGGAACTAATCTCTTATTTAAGGGATAAGGGGATTTCATAAGGAATGTCAAAATAGCTTGGGGAAACATTGACGCAAAGCAACAAATTAGGGAAGTGAGTAGCTGAAGACCTAAAAATAAACGTAATGGGAACCTTAGACTAGAAAACTGTAAAGACCAATTACAACTGGATACCAAACACCGTTTCCCAGTGTAGAAACCAGTAAAACAAAAACTAATCATCCATCTGACCTACAACAATAAAATGTTGTTTCTAGATGAATTCATCTGTATTTGGTAGAGTTTCAGGTCGAGTTGTAAAGGCCAGCCTTGTCACTTGACGTTCAGCTGGTTTTTGGGTTGTTTCCTTTCCAGAAGCATCTTTATTCTGCTCGAATTCTGAAAACCTGAGTTTAACCTACATGGTATGTCTGGACACATCCTGCATCACTAATTTGCAAAGCACATGCCGACACTATTTCTGAAATATTAAAATGATAAGGAGCTCATCTTCATCTTTTAATATTATGTGGAAAATGTTGTAACTGTCATATGTAATACAGTTAAGTGACAATTTTAAGGTTCAAGTAAAAGATTTGGACCAATCAGATGCTCAGCAGGGTTCTTGAGTTAAACTCAAAATACATATAGGCCTACCACCGTTTGGGATTCACTGTTTAGGACAAATTTAGATTCAGTATGAAAAATTTGAATATTCTAGATAAAAAGAAAAATCAAAGATGTTTTTTTGTTGAGCGCTTTGGATGTGTTTAGTGCTCTTTTGGGCAACCCTGGCACTTAAAAAAAGATTTACTTTCCCAAATGTCTGTGTTTTTAATACACCAAAGGCTTACTATAACCTTTTCTTGAAGTGCCAAAGGATAGGCTGTACTGATTGTGTCTGCCTTTAAAGGTCCAAAAGTGGGGCACAGATGGCCTAGCGGTTAGGATGCGCCCCACATACAGAGGTGATAGTCGTTCAAGCAGACGGCCCAGGTTTAAGTCTGACCTGGGGTCCTTTCCCCGCATGTCCTTCCCCACCCTCTCTCCTGATTTCCTACTCTATCCAACATCATACAAAATCAAAAAGCCCCAAAATAAATCTTATAAAGCCTGAGAGGACCTGGTTGAACAGGGGAGTGTTTCCAGAAAATTTAGACTAACAACAGAGCCTCATTAATGAGGTTTTATTTGATATGACATATCTAAAGTCTGATTTGAAACGACTTGTTCCTCCTCTGTCTCCCCAGCAAACAGTCAAAACAGGTGAAAACACATGTAAGTTGGACTGTAAATGTCAGAAAAAACCCGGTTTTGTCACTCAGTCTTGATAAATGTGCTTCAGTGGTTTGAGTTGATGTCAGACTGAAGCTTAGGCTGCAGTCCTGAGCATTTATAGCTCAAATCTAAATATAGGTGCTGTGTCACAGCTCAGTGGGACCCATTGATGTGAGAAATATAAAAGCAGCCTTGTCTGCTGGACACCACACCCAGACGTGTTAGCAGGGTACACCCAGCTCTGTGTGTATGTTGACATCATGGCTAAGTGAGTAAAAGCACTCAGACCTTCCAAATAAGGAGATTCATGTCCCAGAGGCTTCACCTGCCGGCCTGGACCGGTCCTTGTTTGGGTCAACAAAAGTGTGTTGTTGTAGTGACAGTTATCAGCTATTAGTTTTGTTATCAACAATTTAAAGTAAGAGATGGTGTTATTTACTGCATACACATGTACCTGTCCTACAGACCTTTGCCATATAGCCAAAAATAAATAAAAAGTATAGATATAGGAAAGGCTGAATATACTTCCAAGTATCCCAACTGGGATTTTTTTTTTTATAGAGGAAATGAGTCAGTTTCCACTGGAATTTCTACAGTCTTATGTTTGAATGTGAAAATATAATCAGCAGCATGTAGTTTCAACAATGATCCCATCTCACTACTTTTGTCAAACAAGCAGCAGTCATCTTGTCTTGTTCCAGCAGAGGACCAAGACATCGTGTTGATGTATGAGAATAAATCTTGTGCTGTTATTTTTATTCCGTCCCATATTCACTTTTTTATTATAATAAATAATTAATAAATCTTTTTTTTTTCTTTGAGTGTCATGTTATTGACTCATTAATTTAAAATCTGAAAATAGTAGTTTTTATTTCAATGTGACCTTTTATTGACCTCAAACCCCTCTTGTGGTTTACAAGGCATTTGATATTAATTTGTAAACTCAGTTATTATTTCTGTTTGTGTCATATGATTCCACATGAGCATAGATATAATAAATGTTCTATTTAAAAGTGTTTTATCTACACTGCTAATGAAATTGCGTAACAGAGCTGTAAACTACTAGAGCTATAATATGCTTTCATAGCTGTAAATGCTTGCTAGCCAAATGAACCTGCGTCCTGGAACACAACACTTGCGGGGCGAGTTCTACCTTCCCATTGGCTGACACACATGCCATTGGCTTGAACATCGGACAAATGATTGGCCTAGTGAATCCATGAGGCCGTTTCTCTTGCAGTGATTGGCTCAGGCTGACGTCAATCAAAATCCTGCGCCGTTGCGTGGCCGGAGCGTCTGATGAGCTCAACGGTCCCCAGGAAGCAGCGATGCTTATTTGGGTATTTTATAGCGATAAAGACGAGGTGAAGCGCGGATTTTCGAGGTCAGGCGGAACAAATGGAGACAGCTGAATATTTTGAAATTATTTCTCTCACGCTTGGTGTCAAATGGAGGAGACTTTTGTCATGATTTGGCATTGATTTGGCGATGTTTACTGTGCAGCCCGATAAGTTCCCCTGAAGAGTAACGGGAGCCTCTAGCCTTCAGCTGCCTTAATATTAGGCAGTAAAATACAGAAGAAAAGACAATTATAATTATTTCTTCTGGGTTGTGGGGCTGGCGGCAAGCCAATAATTTACTCTGGAGCCGGAAACGGAGGTAGGTGATCCTCATTTCATATAGAATATTTATTATTTTTATGCTGTGGGATTTTAATTTGTGGCTGTCATGGACCCTGCCAGCGGAGTTTTAGCTAGCTAACATAACACCTCGAAACAAACCACATATTTATATGAAACAACCTCATACTATTTGAACTCGTTTGTATGGTAACGGTGGATATTGTGTAGTATAAGATGTCGTGGGTCAGGCATCAACAGTGCACCTATAGCTGCACAAACAGAGAGGTACTACAGGCATGAAGAAGTTCACATTAATGCTCCATGCAGGTACACACCATCTGTGCAGGTGTATCAAGGAAGTGTCAACGCGGGATGATGATGTTAATCATTAAACAAATAAGTCTTTGGCTGTCTGGGACACTTTTTTTTCGACCCCTTGTAGTTGTTTAATAAATTGCCACAACCCTTCTTCAGATGCACTCAGAACATATTTGTAATCAATTTGTTTTTGGCCTTTTTTTCTTTACATTTTAAAACATATTCTGAAGGACTCTACCCCTAGAAAACAATCACTGCTTATTAACTACTAATAAAGATATAAAGTAAACAGGTCTACTAGATGATACTGCACAATGATTGGACAATGAGTGAGTTATTAATACATATTATAAGTGTCTATTAAGAGACTGTTGGTGACAGAAAGGATTAGTTATTTAGCTTGAAGTAAACAGAAAAGTTGCCCAACGATATGGACCAAAAGTCATATCTCGATATTGTTTAGCTGAATGGCGATACTCGATATTTATTTTATTAACAGTGAAAACACACAGAAAATAAACTACCTGTTTGTGAATTTAAAAAGTAATATTATAGAATAAAAATGTTGCTTAAATACAATAAAAGAGAGAGAGGAGGGACAGTCAGTCATCATCAGTGAGATGAGAAAAAGGTGACCTGGCACCTCTGTAACGTTATTTTAATGCAGCATAAACTATATCCATATTAAGGATATTGTCTTACCCTATATCTTGTTTGAAAATATATCGATATATATGAAAAGCTCCATATATTTCCCAGCCCTACCAAATCCTTGTCATTTTTGTTTACAGGCTTTCTGTGCATGTTTGAGTGTGAGTGCAAAGCACCCCATTCCTCTCTCGGGCGTCATGACTGAGCCCTTTCATTCAGGACGGAAAGGGTTTCCTGTGCAGTCACTTACAGTACTTGAAGGGTGGAGTGTGTCCAGCTGAAGTCTCTGTGTGTGTGTGTGTGTGTGTGTGTGTGTGTGTGTGTGTGTGTGTGTGTGTGTGTGTGTGTGTGTGTGTGTGTGTGTGTGTGTGTGTGTGTGTGTGCGTGCGTGCGTGCGTGCGTGCGTGCGTGCGTGTGTGTAATTCCACATTCACACATTAACTACACAGTTAACATACTAAACTGAGAAATCCAACATCTGGGGGAAAAGTTACATAAACTTTGACGATTCATATACAGAGTTTAATTGTTTTATTGTGGGCCAGGCACGATAATCAACTTCAGCGTGCTAACATGACTATTGCTCGCATGTCATATTGTTGCTGTAGGCTACGTTTTATCTACCTGTGCAGATAAAGTCAAAGTAATCTGCAGACCTGTTAGCAGTCGGCAATGGGGAATATGTTATCTGTGTTTGAGGTCTGTCAGTTATTCCGAAATCTTAGAGCAGGAGATCTCACAATCTTGGCAAATGAAACCAAAGCACAGCAAAGTCCCTCTACATTTATTTCAGAAAACCCTAACCCTAAATCGTTTCAGTAAGATGAGGAAACACCGTCTGACTTTATCACTGTTTGTTTATTGTGTCCAAATCTTTAAACTTTATTTTTAGGTGATAGTCAGATTTCAGCCCTGTCCCCCGTTTTAGGCTGCGAGCTTTGGTCTCAAATAGTGAGCTGCCTTTCATAATGCCTTCCTTATAAGCGCCTGAGTGGTGTTTGCTTAGCTGATGGGGGGGGGATCTGGTTCACTGGACGCCAATCTGAATACCGTCAGAGTCAGAGTGAACGAAAGGCTCGGCTGTGAGCTAACAGTTTTTAATGTTGCTTCATCATTTTCCAGCTTGGTGGGGAAATGAGCACAAAATCCCGTCCAGGCCCATGGCTCAAGCGTGTGCAGAAATTCCATTACTCGGTTTCTGCTCCTTAAAAAGGAAAGTCGCAGAACGGTAGATCTAGAGAGTATGGCCGAAACCAGAGAGACTGAGAATAACCAAATGTAATGAATGATTTGGTCAAATTAAAAGAGGAATTTTCCCCTTATTTCAAGTCAGTAGCTATTCAGTGTTTTCATAATATACTAAAAACATGCTCATTTTTAAGCTCTTAGAATTAGTCAACATCAGACTCAGCGTTTCCCCATTGGTTTGATTGCTTTGGTTTCAAAGCAGCCAACGCCTGTTGTGTTTTCCTTCACCTTCTCCTCCAGCGTTTTCAGAAACAAAGCTCTAAAAAGCAGAACAGAACAACTTCAAGCAGTTTCTAAACGTGGTGGAGCATTCAGCCCACAGAAGCAGGGATTTCACCGCAGGAAATGGTGATGACCTCAAAAAGAGCTAATAGGAGAATGAATGGTCATGTGTTCCTCAAAAAAAAAAAAAAAAGAAGTGGTGTAAGCAAAAGTATAAATTTAGAAATCCCAGAGTGATATCGTGGAGGCTAAGTGTGATATTTTAGGTGTTTCTGAAGCCAGTCAAAATGTAATCATTTTGATTGATCATTGTTTGGTTCAATTACCAACAGACAGAGCAGAGATGTCAAAGTAGTAAAGATGTTCCTGTTTAATTTACAATACCAACTTTAATACCTATAGACTTAAAAAGTACAACATAATATTGATGGAAAAAGCCCTGTTTGCTGATATTTGCTAGCGTTTACTGACATTGCCATCTCCACTAGCTTTGCTCTGTTGTTGTTTTTTGTTGTCACATGATAATGTGCCTGACCCCGTCCATCTTTTTTCTGAAGCTATTAAATGATGGATCGTATGAGTGCGTAGACAGGCTTACTCTCAGATGTGCTTTACAGCTTTTAAGACCTTATCATATTGGAGGATGATCCTAATGATATGTGTGTATCAGAGCGTCTCTAGAAATATTCACTCCCATAAATGTTTGCTGTGGTGGGTTAGAAGTCTTAGATTTCTTGCCTCATGGGCTGATGGGGTTTTATTCTGTTGATAGATATTGTGTAAAAAAAAAAAGTAAAAGTGGAAAATAGTCAGGGATAGGCTAGGAAGGTTAGAGCATCGGTTCCCAACTTGGGGTCCAGGTCCCCCTTTGGGGTCGCCAAAGGACTCTTGGGGGACACAAGGCTTTATCTGCTCTGAGGTTGTCCCAATTAGATTTTTTTCATATTACGTGAAATCATGATGACACACTCACTGGATAGTTTGTAAAAAACACTTTCTCTCTTTTGCATGCAGCAGCTTTTGGTTAAAATATGATACAAGCTCTTCATTTTTTTCTAAAGCTTCAGTACATCTTAATATCTATCATTAAGATAACTAAGATTTTGTCATTTTAAAACACGTGGTTTCAAAAAGTATCAAACATTTCAACAATCTACTGGGTATTCGTCATGTGCATCTTCCCCAAAAATGTAACATCAGGCGCTCATGGAGGGATGAAAGACCCCCAGACAGAATATTACTGACACTGCTGGCACTTATTTGTATTTGCTCAGTATTGTCATTTCCTCGATGAGCATCAGTGATGTTTCCCGTTGAGTAGATCTCCCCAGCAGGGTAAACCTGTGAAGACCTCAGTAACTCAACTCCCGTGTTCGCCAGCATCTGTTTTTTTCACCTAACAGAAGCAGTTTGCAGCAGATTTCAGTATGTTTTCTCAGAAGTCAGGAAGCGTCTTGTTGTTGTGGACAGTGGACGGGGAAAGGGACTGTTGTCTAGACCAAACACGGGTCCTTTGTGGCGGCTGCAGGGCTGTTTTATCTCTGTGTAAGCAAATCTAGAGCATTCATAACTTTCTGATGGCGTGATGCTGAAATGTTTTGATGACGTTTACATCCAGTCACCGTCTTCCTCTTTCCCTCGTTACATAATATATTCAAAGTCTGACCATGTAAATACTCTGTTAGTTTAAGAAGAACAGATCTACTTCCCTTTAAGTGTGAATGTCATTCTTTGTATTTGTGTTGTTTTAGCTTTTGTTTCTGTGATTTTCTTTACACCCACTCGAGGGCAACTTCAAATCCAAGATGTCAGTGCAGTGTGTGCCCTTGTAAAGAGAATGGTTCACAAATTGCTTGATAATTGACTGAAGTGCTGCCATTATATGATGTGTTGTATTAAATTACAAGGCACGATGGGGTTCCTCAGGGTTCGATCACATTACCAAAGATCCTCCATCAGTCAGTCCTCCATCTTTGTTTATTTGATTAGAAAGCATTCTCAGTTTGATGGTATCACATACTGTGTAAAATGCAAAAGGAGTGCATGCTGAGATCGATCTGTGGAGATGTCCCTGATTAGTTGCTGGATTGAAACCCTGCAGGCCGGAATCCATCCGACACAAATAAAGTTCTTCTTATTATTATGAGGCTCACAGCTTTTTGGTGGAAGCCAGGGAGGGTTCTTGGAATTGCTGTCACACTACTGATTCCTCTCTTGTCTGTATGGGAGCATGCACAGTGATAACAGGGATGTAAACGTCTTACGCATTTGAAGCATGTCTATAATGCTTTTGCTGAACTAAAGCCACTACAACCAAAAGTGATAATTATACAACAAACGACCCGTCAGACCAGAAAGCAGTAATGCAGTGTTTATCAGCAGATTCTTGCAAAATAAGCGGTGCTGGATGCGTTGTGGTGTGTGCACTGTGGACTAACTCACCAGGTTCATTGAAGAACAACCACAGCCTGTGAGGTCAAAGCTTGGAAACGAGCATTAATGTCAAATGCTAAAATGTGGCAACAAAAGCAGAAGTAAAGATGATGAAGAGACAAAAAGATATGCTGGTTAATAATGACCATATGAAGCTTACGTAGTCTGATATTTGTCTTATTATTGACTTTAGCCACTGGTCATATCAATCCAAGTCTGGCAGCAACAAATCCCCTGAGGAAGACATTTTTTGACTTTAACTTTTTATTGGATGAAGAAAGTGTTACTAACCTCGATCAAACCTTACTCACTGGAGTGTTCGAGTAATGTCATCAAGAAGGTCATGAACAACTTATAGTGTGGAAAATTGCTGCTTAAATTCTTCAAAAAGTAGTAACAGTGACTTGTCTGATGTGCAAAACCTGATGTGTGTTGGTCTTTCTGTTGTGTTTCAGGATAGTATGGCCATGACGGGAGGGACTGCAGCTGCCCTACCCATGAGCAACCACACCCGTGAGAGGGTGACCGTGGCCAAGCTGACACTGGAGAACTTCTACAGCACTCTGCTCACCCAGCACGAGGAGCGGGAGATGAGGTAAAAAAAAAAAAAAAAATGCTTGAGTGGTCGTAGAGGCTGCAGTACCTGTCGATGTCTTTTCCCTGCATGAATACATTGAATCATATTCAGGCCATATTGCATGTGTCTAGTTTTAAACTGGTTATGAAACAAACTGATATGAGTTCTTTTCTGCTCCATATGACTCAGCAAGAAGTTTGACTTTATGTTGAGTCATTTTTAGTGCCCGTGACCACTTGTGTCTGTGTCTGAAGTTTTACAATGTGTGTTCATTTGGAATGATAATATTTGATTTATTATAAGAAGAGACAAGATTAACAAAGAGATAAGACATCTAACATAATATACAGCTGTCGCCAAGTTTAGGCCTTTTTGGACGGCAGGAACTTTTTCATACTTCTAGGAACTGTTGGAACCCTCCCCGCTTTTTTATAGATTCAGCACTGCAGGATCTATGAACTATTTTAGTTCCGAGAACCCCGTTTAGAGGAACCTTTTTAACTCCGTCTTCTTGTGCTGGGAGAGTACCAGCACAAGAGAGACTTTGAGTGTCTTAAGTGCACAGAGATAGGTACATACGTCAAAATCATTATAAAAAAGGAAGATGAAGAAACCGAAACGAGACTACAAAAAAATGTGTCGGCCGGCTTACATCACTTTGAGGTTCATATCGTGGACTTGGGCCTGTGTCGCACTTTTCTAGTCTTCTGACTACTCAAATCGCTTTTACACCGCAGGTCACACCTACACACCCAGGTGTCCATCAGAAGTAACTAATCCCATTCATACTTATTCATACGCCGCCGATGAAGAAGTGGGAGCACTTAGGGGTTAAGTGTGTTGCCCAAGGACACATCGGAGGCTGCAGGAACCCCTGACCTTCCAATTGAGAGACGACCGACTCCACCAACTGAGCCACAGCCGGCCATATCAGCCATCAACATGACGGTGCAAAAAAAAGTCCCCATGTTGTGTAGTTCTCAGGGAACTGCCTAGTGGATATTTCCTCTTCAAAAAGTCCCCAGAACAGTTTGGTCCGGAAACACCTTTTGACATAAAATGAAAGTTCCAGCCTGTATCGTGAAGAAAAACCACAATAAACTATTTAAATTCCACTAGATTCTCTCACAGGTTCATTAAGACCTTAACCAATCTGCAGCCAGTCTCCCTCGGCATGTAAATGTAGCTGATATTTACGGCATCATGTGTCGCTTTATCTGCTGCTGGAAAAGGAAACCAGTTAGTGGTGTTTCATGCCAGCTGTGAGCACAACAAAGGACACTTTATAATCTAACACTCGCGGTCTCAGGTTACCGCACTGGTAGTGCTGATCTCTTGTCCAGGTATCATGGTTCAGTGCTCCTCATAAAAGACTCGCTGTATAAATCGTTAATGTTCACTCCACTGCATAAACTGACTGAAACTTTAGGTAATCAAACCCCTCTTTGTACATTTCCCCACCAAATCTCTCAGAATGATTTTTGATTGATGATTTTTGCAGCCCTATTTCAAAATGAATTCCCTTTTTAAAAGCACAATTCTGTTTTCTTTTTTCATGTGCAGACAGAAGAAGCTGGAGAAGGCCATGGATGAGGAGGGTTTGCCTGATGAGGAGGTATGACAATCATCGTCTTCATTTTCACCTCTGCATGTTGTAAGAAGAAAAAGGCTTGGACTTCTTTGGATGTCTCACATTCTTGTCCGTCTTTGTTTTTGTTTTTTTTGCAGAAAGTAATGCGTCGCTCGCAGCATGCCCGTAAGGAGACTGAGTTTTTGCGGCTGAAGAGGACGCGGCTCGGCCTGGATGACTTTGAGTCTCTTAAAGTTATTGGGCGAGGTGCTTTTGGAGAGGTACATTAAAATTAGATTTCTATAAATATCTTGAAGGGTGTCAAAAGTTTAAATGAAGTCTGTCATGAAAGTTTGTGGTTTCAGTTTCCCTCATGTTGATGCATGATGTTCTCTCTTGCCTCAGTGTTATCATGGTGTTACTTTCAAATCCATGACATCACATGGCCGCTTTAGATGAGTTTTATTCACTGTGTGTGTTTGATCAGAAGTTTACAACAAGAATTCTCTGAACAGAGTGATATCTGCTCAGGATTATATTGACTTAAAGGAGCAATCTGTAAGATATCTACTAAATTAAATCTTAAAATGACCTTACTTTAGATTCTAGTCCTGAATGCTCTGTATTTGTTTTGACCAGAGGAGTAAGCAGTTTTAAGGCTACACACACACACACACACACACACACACACACACACACACACACACACACACACACACACACACACACACACACACACACACACACACACACACACACACACACACTCCCCCACTGGCTCAGCTGGTTCACCTGGCCCTGTCTCTCCCCTGTAACACCTCTGTTACTACATTTGAAGACAGTACACATGGAGGATCACTTCCTACATTACGCCTCTGTACATGTCCCGTCTTGAAACGATATTCTGAGTACGGCTAATAGAATTCGATTTTTGGTAGTATCATATCGAATTTAAAATTCTGCTATCGTTGACAGCCCTAGTGCCAAATAAGGGAGGCACATTGTGACAGATGAGTCCCAGTGAACGTGTTGGTCTGCACTCTGCATCGTCATCCTTTTCCAAAAGTCTCAACACTGCCAACACACTTAAAGCAACCGAGGAATTTTCAAATGAAAGGTGGGCAGCAGAGTTTCACAATGTCTCCTGCCGTGAAGTGGACGGTAGACATGACATGAACGAAGCAGAACTCAAGCATTTTAAAAACACAAAGGTTGTAGTTTGGATGTAGCCTTAGAGGACTTGACATAGATTGGAAATGGCGCTCTCTCCCAAAATCAAGTTAAACGTGGAAATGAATGGAAGAGCATGTTTTGCAACTGAAATGCACGTTGATGCACATGCTGCTTCTGTTTTGACTTCACTGCTGTCTTCTTGGAGAATTTCCCCCGGGGATGAATATAAGTATTTCTGATTCTGAACATACAGTAGTTAGATGTTTTGTCCTCACTCATCTGCACATTCAGTTATGTATATCTCATAAAGTGCTGTCCAATAGAAAAGTGAATACATGCACACGAGCTGATCTGTCATGTCATCTCCATCAGGTCCGTTTGGTGCAGAAAAAAGACACGGGGCACATATACGCCATGAAGATTCTGAGAAAAGCCGACATGCTGGAGAAAGAACAGGTGAAGTTTTTTTTTTTTAATCTGCACCCCGATTCTCACAGACCTCTGTTGAAGCTGCTGCAACAATGGTGTTCTGTTAGAGGTTTCTAAAGTGGTGTTCTTTCTCTCTTTAGGTCGCTCATATCCGAGCAGAGCGGGATATTCTGGTGGAGGCAGACGGCGCCTGGGTGGTTAAGATGTTTTACAGCTTCCAGGACAAGAGGAACCTCTACCTCATCATGGAGTTCCTACCTGGAGGTACTGATAAACTAACAAATCTGTTTGACTGTAGCATTTTGAGCTAGCCTGTTGCTAGTATTTTCTCTATTCTATTCGGTGACCTAAGCGAGACAGAAACGCTGTGAATCATGACATCCAAGAGCTCTGACCTTGTTGTCCAGGCGACATGATGACTCTGCTGATGAAGAAGGACACTCTGTCCGAAGAGGCCACCCAGTTCTACATCGCAGAGACGGTCCTGGCCATCGACTCCATCCACCAGCTGGGCTTCATCCACAGAGACATCAAACCAGACAACCTGCTGCTGGACTCCAGGGTGAGACTCCCAGACGCACAGACACAAATGCCCGACTGTCCGTGTGAGGTGTGTGTTTTTCTTTGTGATATATATGGAATGTGTGTTTGCTCACAGGGACACGTGAAGCTGTCAGATTTTGGCTTGTGTACGGGACTGAAAAAGGCTCATCGCACAGAATTTTATAGGAACCTGACGCACAACCCGCCCAGTGATTTCTGTGAGTCCAGAATCCAAACCCTCATGCTTATACATGCGCAACAAGTTTAACTTCTCCCAAAGTACATTTTCCGATGGACTCTGTTGTGATCTTTTTGCAGAAACATGAGCCTGAAACTATTTGAAATTGTCTCTCCCTTTTCTTCTCTTCACTATTTTGCTCCCCGCAGCTTTTCAAAATATGAACTCCAAGAGGAAAGCAGAGACCTGGAAGAAGAACCGGAGACAGCTGGTAAGGCCTTGACGTTTGACAGAATGAAAGAAAAGAGTTAAAAGGAAAGAATCACACAAATACTGGTTACAACATCCAGAACAAGAAAAGAAAGGTTCTTGTGTATTTGACTCTATGTACAGAGCCCTCACCTTCTATCGTTCTGGTTGAATTTCAGGCTTACTCTACTGTAGGGACTCCTGACTACATTGCTCCTGAAGTCTTCATGCAGACGGGATACAACAAGCTGTGTGACTGGTGGTCTCTGGGGGTCATCATGTATGAAATGCTCATCGGTAAGACAGTCAGAGAACGCTTCTTGAAACTCATTTTAGATATTTAAATCACAGAAGTGATCAAAAGATGTTTGATGCCCCAATTGAGTAAAATTTGGAATGATTTAAAGGTGGGCCTGTAGCCTAGTGGTTATTGTGCACGCCTAATGTAAGGAGGCTGTGGTTCTCCTAAGCAAGCGGCCCGGGTTCAAATCCGACCGGGTTCAATGCCTCCTTTCTCACTGTCTCTCTCGCAGAGTTCTGACGCTAACCACTGTTCTATCTCTCAATGAAGGCATAAAACACCCCAAATACACCTTTAAAGAAGGTGAATAGAGGCATTTTTAAACACCAATTTAAACATGTTTTGATTTAAAAACCTTTTTAATCGTTTAAAATATTTATTGCAGCAGAACATAGTTTGTGTTTGGCATCTAGGCTCCGACCTCATCACTCCTCACAGTTTTTATTAACATGCAGAAATTTGAGGAGTGATGGGATGATATCTAAAACCCCTCAGTCGAAGCCTAAAAGTGGATGCTGGGGGGGGCAGGCGTCGCCTCATTTCAGGAAAAAATACCTAAAAACACAGGCATAAAGCACTTAAGGCTTCATGAACGTGCAGAAGATAATGTGCCAGGATTTTTGGTCCTTATTTTGCATCACATTGCAGAAGTCGGTTAACAAGTTATATATCACTCTACCTCCAAGTTCTTTTTTTTAATGCACACTGACTTTTGTTCAGGCTATCCACCCTTCTGCTCGGAGACGCCGCAGGAGACGTACAGGAAGGTGATGAACTGGAAGGAAACCCTCGTCTTCCCGCCTGAAGTCCCCATCTCAGAGAGGGCCAAAGACTTGATATTAAGGTTTGCAGAGATTTACAATTTCTCTCATACACACCTGCTCGAAAGTCACCTGCCAAACATCCTGGTTTAGACATGGAAACATGTCTCTGTATGTGCTGAACATGAAGGTTTGTTGAACAGTCATATATCATCAGTCTGCATGTTTATGTTTCAGGTATTGCACTGATGCAGAGAACAGGGTCGGAGCTGTGAGTGTGGAGGAGATTAAGAGCCATCAGTTCTTTGAGTCCGTCGACTGGGAGCACATCAGGTACGTGCAAGATAAGATAAGATAAACTTTATCGCCCCAGTGGGAAATCTGCCTTGGACAAAGGTTCTTTAAGGTGTACTGTAGCCATCAGCTCGATATTCTTCTTCATGTCTGAATGAGTGCTTAAACTCGAAAAGGATCAATATTGGAGATATTTTTGATTTTGAAAAATGGAGAGAGGTTAGAACACAGAAAGGTTTACAGACAGATGCAGAGCTGCAAAGCTGGATAAACACTGAAGCTTCAGTGTCCACCACATGGCAACCTGCATGAACATCGACTCTAGAGAGGAGGGGGCGGGTGGAGACAGCTCTCTACAATGTTTTGAATTTGGACTGCAGTACCCATTTTTAACACTAGGTGTCAGAGTTACATATCACTCCTTTAATTCATTGAATTGTTTATTTCTACTTTTAGAGGTGTTATTCCAATATTTGCTAATATTCATTTTGATTGCTTTTTCATTTATTTCTTTTACTTCCTGTTATGTATTTCCTTTTTTATCGCTTTTATTTCTTCCTATTTGTTTTTTCCTTTTTTATTCCTTTTTTAAAGCTTTTACCTTCACTCCATCTGCTCTCTGCTGAGTTTGTACATTTAGCATCTTTTCTCCTCTTGGTTTCTCTTCTTCTTATTCACTGTGTCTTTGTTGTACTGCTGTTTGCTGTTTGTTTGGGATAGAGTGTCATGATTTGTTTGTTTCCCTTCTTAAAGTGTTGTTTTTAAAGGTGCTATAGAAGTAAAGATATTGTTATTATTACTTTTATAATAATAATAACTTTTGTTAATATTACTTTTGTATAAAAGATGTTTGTAAGTAGGTCAGAGCTGTAACTTTTCCATGACACTTAAACACAATAGAAGTCAAGGCTACAGCAGCACATTGAACAGAATGAAACACGTCCTGTCTGCCTTTTGAAGAACAGTGTCGTCCATCTCTATCAGCGCCTGTGCTCAGAGAAAAAAAACAGTTTAATGAATTATGGAACACTTATAAAGTTGATAAGACATTTGAATGAGCCTTTCACAGAGGTTAGAATAAGTGAGGAGGAGACAAAGCATTTCAACCTGGTGTTAAGTTATTCCTTTACAGAAAACAACCACAATGATCATCTCTCCATTAATGGATGTCCATCGGGTCCTGTTTGCGTTTGCGTTTGTGTAGTTTGTTCAGTTTTTGATCTAACTTGTTATATGTACTGTTCTGATTTCTCTTTTGAAATCTTTCTTCCTGCTCACGATTGTCTTCATGTTGCCTCCTCAGGGAACGGCCTGCAGCCATCTCTATCGAAATCAAGAGCATCGACGACACCTCAAACTTTGACGACTTCCCGAATCAGACATCCTCCAGCCAGGTATGTTTTCACACATTTGTCTGCAAGCCAATTAAAGCTTCTTATTTATTATTATCCTTCTAATGGGTTTCTCTTAGTGTACAAAGTGTGACCTACAGCGCCCTCCAGTGGCATTTAAAATAACACCTCCTTCGTTCTGTGTTGAATTTCAGCCAGCTCAACAGAGCCGGACTTCAAATCCAAGGACTGGGTCTTCCTCAACTACACGTACAAACGTTTTGAGGGCCTGACTCAGCGAGGCACCATCCCCACATACATGAAGGCGGGGAAGGCCTGACACGCTGCAACGTGGAGACATACAAAAAAAACAAACAACAACAGACGTTTACGGACACAGGGTCGGGCCGTGGAGCCCCCGCTGGTGCTGAAGGCCACGCTGTCGGCCTCTCAGTGTAATTTAACCCTCATCACATGTTATTTAGGCGTGCTCAGCCTCGGCGAGAACGCCAAGAGCTCAGAAATTAAGGAGCGTTACCGCATTACCTCGGTTGTTTATATAGCGTCTACACGTGCCGTCTTTAGCCATAGCTCTCAGGCCAGTTCCTCGACACTAAATCAGCATATCTGCATGTTAAGCGGCATTACTGCTTCCGGAGAGGATTTTTTAAAAAACTGCCTAAACGCGATAGTGAGAATAAAGGTTGGAAAACGAATCACTGCTTTGACAGTGATGGTTTCTACACTGGAGGCTCCATTAGCTCTGCTGCAAACATCATTTCTAACACTGAAGATAAAATCTGTACACTGGAGTCGAACGCTGAAGGATAAGTGAGTAACGACAGGCCCCTGCCCTTTTGTCACCAATATCTCTGGGGATTTTTGAAGGAAGGTTCCAGCATGGTTTCCAGGGTTTTGACTCTCTCTCTGCTTTGTTTTTAAGTGTAACTCTCACCGACAAAGAAAGCACATCAAGATTCAGCTGACAGAAGCCTCTTACTTTGGTTTTAACCGTCGGTTTAGGTTGTTGCCTTGTAGCCTGGTTCAGCCTCAACATCACACATTCAGGGTGCTGATGGTGCAAGTTCCTGCTAGCAAAATGCTTTGATGATAACAGCCGACCCTTTTAGCCTCAAAATGCTCTGAGACCAGAGAGGCATCGTTTAGTATGTTAACCGTAATATTTTACAACCAGGCTTGTGCAGTAGATGTGTATTTAATATATCTCTATATTTTTTGGATTGGCATAAAAGTATTTTGCATCTAGCGCCATCATCATGTAAAAAAAAAAAACGAGGTTGGTCCAATTTGGATTTGTGATCATCTTCTGTGGATTCTGCTTTTCTGGGTTTAGCATTTAGCTCAATGCAGAGCTTTGTCCGTATGCATATGCTCAAAGAGCTGCTAGCGCTGATGTAATCTTATGACGTGTCTCCTTTCCGATACTTGAGTGCACTGCTGTGTAGCACACTGTGTGCATCATCTACCTATCGGCATGCTCAAATAGTGCAGAAAGTTCCAACAGAGTGTTGAAACTCAACCTAGCATACAGAGGCGCTGCTCGTCAACAGGCAAGGCAGGCAACTGCTTGGGGCCCCAGATCATTACGGGGCCCCAAAGCAGCGGCCATAAAATGTGCAAACTTTTGCAGTGACGGTTGGAAACCTCCCTAAGGGACTCCCATCTGACAGAACTCACTGTCTTTGCCCTGCTGAACGCTGATTGGAGGGCCCCCAAATTGATTTTTGCCTAGGCCCCCAACAGACTCTAGAATCAGCACTGCAAGCATGAACATTTATTCATTGAGTTGAAACTGTGTGGACTATGTTGTAACTTTAATTTGCTTCTGTCTGCCCCAGCTGCATGCTGGATGGAAATGATGCAGCTATCTAGTGCCAATTCATAACAAGTGTTATCTCGAGACGCTTTACAAAAGAGCATCGGGGATAAGATGCAGGAAGGATTTCTCCTTTGTGTTCTTTATGTTCCTGTTGTCCACACTTCCTTACGGCTGAGGTGGAGGTCGGAGTAGGCCGTATATATATAAGGCATATATTGGTGAAAAGGAAGGTGCTCCAGTGTGTTTTTAAAGTCTCTTAAAGTGACAGATGCTTCTGTGCTGCTGATGAGGGGAGGAGAGTATATCATATATCATGCTGGAACCCTCCTTCCCCCCCCCCAGGTTCTGATGAAACACCGAGCATTTTGCCTCAGCGCTGAGAAACAAGTGTTGCCAGGAAACGTGTGAATGCAGTTTGCCCCTGTGCTCGACATCCGTTACTGCGGAGTGCCGCTCATTCACATCACGCCAAACAAACCGCCATAGTGTGTCACTTCCCCCTTAAGAGCCGGCTGTTTGTTGTTCAGATCAGTGCCACAGTCATTGATATTTCTCCTGACTTTAATCCTTAATGAAGCCCCAGGGTCGATCCCTTTCTTCTGAGGTGGACATGCAAAGTGCCTTTAAAGAGCTGAAGAGCTGATACTTCAGCAATCGGAAGGAATTAAAAAAGTATTAGAAGATGATAATAATCAAAGTTATAGAGCTGAAGGAGAAGGGAGAAGCAAAAGAAGGAAACTGAAGAGAAAAGATTTATGAGTCAACTTGTATGAAACCGTCCCTAAGAAGAAAAAAGAAAAAACTACAATGTGTCAAATTTAGTCTGAAACATGAAACATTACTGTAAGAAAGCAGAATCCTGAAAAAGCATTTCAGCAAGCTGAAGAGTTTTTGTTGGTTGGATAATAAAACACAAGGCTCATAAAAACAATTCTACAAGGAACAAAATGTTCATGTAAAGATTAAATAGATATTAGAGACTAAATGAGATGAGATTAAAGCTCCTGTGAGGAACCCTCTGGTTTGTCGACCCCCTGTGGACAAAGCTGGGTGAACGATCTGTTTTCTGTTTTATTTTCCATGTGAATGTGAAAGTAGTCGTTGTTAACCAATCATCCTTCTTGGTGTGTTAGGGCCTTTACACTTTTGAAACACGGAGATCGTTTTAGCCGATTCGACATGTTGTATCGGTCTGTCCTCACTGGAGCTTTAACATGGAAGATATTTTAGACACTTGTGTTCGAGCTGCTTAGATGTCTTTATTTATCTTGTATAAGAAGACCCTCACCGTGTATAGCTAAAGTAAAACCTGTCCTAAAAAAACAACAACAACAGTTTAAGCACGTCTGCTTAGAGTTGCGACGAGCCAGCGCTACAAAGTAGTTACCAAAGATCTCTGATCATCTCTCCTCGTGATCTGAACACACATTCAGCTGAAGCCGTCGCTTCGTGCACTCAACTCAATACTACCTTTAAAAAAAAAAAAAAAAAACACCTTTTCAAGAGAGCCAAACATGTTGATAGAAAAATCTGATGTTTATACTTCTACACTCGTCAGAAAAAGAAAGTGCTGAGTCAGGTGTTTCTATGTTGTGTGTCAAAAAAAGCTACATACAGGGAAAGTGAACACACAGAGGACTTAACCGTCCAGCTGTAGTCGTCGTGAGAATCACAGTTTGAAATGTTGGTGGTGCTATTTCTGAGGGATCCACAGAGAAAGGATCTGAACGTGTGGTTTAATTATGAGAGATAAGCGATGATAGCCTCTGTCATCATATTTGATTTGTTAAATGTATAATAATAGCCTTTAACACTCCACAAAGACTGACACAAAGAACATATTCATTGTTTAAATTAGGGATGATTTATGTGTATATTTCTGCATTATTTTGTTCAATGTTTTTTAAATTCCATTCTGTGCTAAAATCCCTGAATTTAAATTGAACTGTTTTCATGAAAGTCGATATTTAAAGGGGCGCTCCGGCTGTTTAGTAATCATCATCCACAAAAAAGGGAGAAAGAAAAGGTAAACACAGGTGAAGCAGAAGATGCTCAGATGTTTTGATGGGGACAGAGGTCTCCTGAGTGACAGAAAAACCACCTTCCTGTAACTGTCACAGAGCTCATTGATGCATACTGGTTGAAATGGTTTGTCCCGTCCCTCCAAAACATGTTTCATGCTGCTTAATCAAATCAGAGTCTAGCTAACTGAGCTTGATGTGAAGAATAGACGGAGTGCCTCTTTATTTACCGTGGGAACATGTCTGTAAAGGTCAAATCTAACAATCTGCTTCCCTTCAAATAAACAACCCTGATTGGGTCGTTTCCCCTAATGATAGAAATCAAAATGATGTCATCAAAGCTACGACTGTACCGTAGCAGGACGGACGCATGATGGAGGATTTTTGTTGACGTGTGTCAAAACACTGGAACACCCAAACGCATCCTGGGAGGACGCCATGTGCAGAGCGTCCTTTTTCCCCAGGATTGTTTGTGTGACTGACTGTGAGAGCAAATGTGAAGGAGAAACGTGGCGGTGTTCTCATGAAGTAGAACCTTTCTGTTGTGAGGTGATGTGTTGGATGTCATGCTCAGTTCTGTGTTGTAAACGGGAAATGATTCAACCTTTAGTTTTTTAGTAGCTGCGTAGGAGACGAAGAAGAGAAGAGAGAGAAACTGCTGTACTAGGGATCCATACAGTTCTATTTAAATGTACCACATGACTTGAAATCCATTACTGTGCCACTTTATCCAAAGGGAGCTAAATTATTTAGAGCTCATTTTTCTGTGACGATGAAACCAGTTCAGGAAATGCTTCACTTTCATCCCATAGCCCCGGCTTTTATTTCTGATGGACCAAACCGGCTCACTGGTCCAGCCTGCGTCTCGTCAGTCACATCGATGTCACAGAAATCAGTCATTATTGATGTTTAGCAAAGTCAAACCCCTAACTCAGAGAATGACGAAACACATATTTATTCTCGGCAAAGAACCTCCGACCCCCCCCCCCCCCCCCCCAAACCTCCTCCAGAGACCAGGACTTTGTGTTGAGGTATTTCTGTGTTTTGCTGTGTACATATTGTTGTAGGAACACTTGAAGGAAACTGTTTGTGGAGTGAAGGAGGGAGATGCTCATTAATGTATTCGTTCATTTAATGAGTTTTTATGTTGATAACATGCTGACAATAATAAAATTAAACACTGAAATACTTCACGTTGGGGCTTTTTTTGGGGGGGTGGGAAGAAGGGAACTAAAGCTCTTGTGAGGAGTTGTCAGATGGGTTTTTAAAACAGTAGAATATATACTGATGACTGAATGATATTTAAAAAAACAATAATAAAAATAAATTGGGAAGGAAATTAGACGAGTTATATGTAATGCCTGGGGAGGTGTCACACTGAATTTAAAGCTCGCTGCAAAAGAGCCTATAGTTTTCTTATTTTATTCCCACCACAAAGGCTCCCTTTTTTTGACCAGCAAAATAAGCAGGATGACTTTTTTTTTGTCTCATCCTTCTTATAGTGCGTTCACACTTGCACAAAACTCCTGAAAATCTCCTGAAGGTTGTGCTGCATGTGTGAACGCAAACAGCTGTTTTTTTTTTTTTTTCTTCCAGCCTCCTGGTATGAAGTCCGAAGTGAGCTGCTGTGAGACAAAGCAGGAAATAATCCTCGAGCGAGTGGGAGGAGGGCGGTCACGTTTACTTCCTTTGATGCGCGACCACTGACCACAGATGAACAGTTAATACTTAAAATGCAACAATGATTAAAATTCAGTGAGAAAGAGGCGCCGGTCGTCTAGTGGTTACGTTGAGCGCCCCATGTGCAGAGGTTATAGTCCTCACTGCAGCGACCATGGGTTTTTGCATGTCGACCACAACTCTCTCCTCCCAACATTTCCTGTTCCTGTCTTCAGCTGACCTATTTAATAAAAGGCAAACATGGCCCCAAAAATATCTTAAATATCTAAAATTCAGTGACAAAGATGTTAGATTTTAAAGTGCCGTTGGTCCACATGGGCTCATGTCGTCTCTCTCTCTCTTTTGTTCATCCTCATTGTGTCAACCATTAAATTAAATAAATAGAAAGAAGTGAGTGGATTAAAACTCTAGCTTGAAATATGTTACAATTATTTCTAAAAACAAAGATATAATGTAGGAAAAAAAGAAACACCATTCACCATTATTCATTTTCAACTTGCTTGCTGCTGTGATGTATTAAAGCCACTAGAGGGCGCTGTTGATGTGCATGAGTGCAGCTGATCATGGTCTTATGAATGGGCACTGTGCCTCATCACTGTAAACCTGTTGTCATGTATCTGTAAGATTGACTGAGGATTCATGATGAGCCAATTAGTGCAACTATGTTGAACTCGAGCTGCCGTGAAACAGCAATAAAAACTCAAATGAAATAAAAATGGCCATTGTTCAAGACTTTGTATGTGATCTGTTGCTTTGTGTTGTATGTCACACATCACGGATAATTTCTGAATCTCAGAAGAGTTAAGTTGTGAGAGTTAAAGGGCTTCTAAAAAATGTGTGGCAGAGATACACTGACTATTTTTTTCATACTTTAAAGACCTACTTCGAAATCCGCTTTGACATTAGTGACTAGTGAATATCTTTGACGATACCTTTGACCTAAACAATAAACCTAATACTATTTCAATTACATGACCGTGTAGAGCATTGTGGGAGCTTTTATCCTCCCATGTATGTAATCTGTTGATGCTGGCCGATGGGACATGACCTGTGCAATATTTAATTTCAGTTTAATTCTCAGTTTGCAATAATTTAATTTAGTTAAAAGTAGGCAACATGTAGCCTAAAGGTCTAAAAGGATGTCATTAGTGGGCCACTTGTTCCACCATGGGCTACTTTCCCCCCCAGTGTAGTCTTGCAGGTTATCACGTGTGGGTCATGTCACCATCACACACAAGGTTACATGAATGGCCAGGAACCAGGTTTTCTTTTTTCTTTTTTTTTTTTTTTAAATCCATCACCCCGATAGAGGAAACCGGGTTTTTGGTTTAGCCTACATTTAAAAAAGCAGGTTACCGCAGACAGACGACAACAAACACACAAAACTTCATAAAAACACAATCCTGTTTATTTCTCGAGTGGTCAAGGTATTGTTGTTTTGTTTGTGGTCTATGTTTTTCAGAGTTTACATTGGAAATGTAAAGATATGCTAACTTTAACAACCTTAACTTTTGTTTTTTTTTGTTTGAGCTCTTAATTGATATCCAGTACCTGTGAGTGGTGTAGAGAAACACGTGCTGTTTCCACCTGCTGTTAAAATGAAGCAATGTTATTATGTGTTTGTATAACAGACATGGCAACGCAAGGGCAAGGAGCTTTGTTTACGCAGAACATTTCAAACACAGAGGCTGATTTAAACTCTTAACCAAAGTATTAGAGGACATAAGTCAAACATGCAAGTCATGACTTTTAACAGGTTTTAACGGACCTAAAGACTGAACTTACCTTATCCTTCACACCTTTTATTTGCACAGTAAACAAAGGTTGAGTATCAAAGTGACCTCATCTCTAAAAGAAAGAGGCCTTAACAATAACATGTAACCCTTTAGGGGGCTTATATAAAGTTGTTTCCTACGCATAGTTAGGCTATTTTATAATTCATTACAAAAACTATTCTCCTGCAATGTGACTGCGGAGCTCGGACCAGAGTGACATTCTTGTGCCATGAGTAAGAAAAACAGTCTTCCCCTCAGGAGAGCACGGGGCGGCGTTTTGCTGACGTCAGAAAGGTCACAAATTGAACGATCAGGCGAGATTCAAAGGCTTTGAAAAAAAAAAAAATCACACCTAGGTCAGGAATGAGACACACATTCTTTACCCAGCGCCCCCAAAATGCCCCCCCCCCGAACCAAAAAAATAAATAAAAACATTATAAATACAGCGATATAACCGAGCTTAGTCGTTTTATTTCTGCAGAAACTGAATCAAGGTTTTTTAAATGGAAATTCACAACCTGGGTTCTTCTCTATATCGGTGTTTATGATGGTATATCATCATTAGCGTTACTTCTGACCCCCTGACGTTCACTTCATATGTTCATTTTTGTCGTTTTTTCTGTAAACGGAAAATATTTCCGGGTTGGTATCGTGCACGAGACGCTACTTTCTCTTGATCCGAGTTCACGAGACAACTGTCGGCACGTGACCGACATGTTATATAATATATTTTGTCGTTTTTTCTGTAAACGGAAAATATTTCCGGGTTGGTATCGTGCACGAGACGCTACTTTCTCTTGATCCGAGTTCACGAGACAACTGTCGGCACGTGACCGACATGTTATATAATATATAGGTCAACACGTTTCTCGCTGGCACGTGCAGTCTTCTTTCTTACGTAAAGTCTCGTGCAAAGGTCTCAAATTACACTATGTAGGTGAGGGCCGAATATCGTCTAATTTAGAGACGATGCTTTACTTTGACATTTATTGAAACTCGGGTGAACGAGGACACCGTTTTATACAACTTAAAAAAAACTATTAAGACCAGTAACCTGTTCTAATTTTGCCTTTTCCCCATTTGTTTTTATTATTCATTAAGATTATAAACCCCAATTTAATTGGGTTCTTCGATGTATAATCATAATGTTATATGTCGCCCTACTTAGGGGTGGAAATGTTATACAACCCCTACGTTTTGCAATTAAATTTAGTTTCATATGATTGTACATAAAAAGAGACAACCCCCCACTCATTGGCCCATAGAGTGAAAACCCCTTCACTCAAGTAACATTTTTACATTAAAACAACGCTTTGAGTAACAAAATGTAGTAAGATCAGGTATTCACTGTTAGTGACACTTTATGAACAATATTGTATCTTTCATTAGGCTATGTTAGAAAATCATCAGAAATACTTTTTTAATACTAAGGGGAGACGTATGCATGACTAAAGCTTCTACCAATATAAGCATAAAGATATAAGATATAAGCATGCAGATACTACATATAAGAAAAAAAAATTCAATTATATGAAGCCTAACATAAAACACAATATATACAAATAAATAGGAATAGACCTATAGTGAGAAATAAAGCAATAAGAAACATAGTGGTAGGTAAAAAAACAAAACAATTGTGTTCATCCAGACTATGAATATGTAAAGATTTGTTCATCAACAATGAGTATACAGCCTACATAGAAAGATGCATTAATATCCCCCTTATCTTAAGACTTTTTGGATTTCCCTCTGGTTTAATGAAGTATGTACCCATCTATCTATGTTTGGCTTATGTCTTCACTTTTATACTTCACCTTAGAATCTTTCGAGCAGGGGAAGTCTCTCTTTGCTCAAAGATAAGTATACATGATTGGAGGCACTACCAAGATCCGAAGCCAACAGTGGTGCAATATCTAACTTAGACAAGTCGAGTGTGATGTGGAAACTTGAAACGTGCCCTGCTCATACACTGGGAATGAACCCTTCACTGAGGTAGGTAACATCTTGTGTCTTAGAATTCAATCTTTGGAATAAACATTATCTTACAATTCGTAGTTTCTGGACCTTTAAAAAATAGAGGAACAGATGTAGTATCTATTATAGAACTTTTTTTGTGTGAAAAACCATATCAATTTAATATTTATAATTGACATTTTAATATTTAAAAAATAGCTGGAATAAATGTTTTATAAAAACAAAGTAATAGTTTTGGTCTCGTGGGTTTTGCAATAACACGTTTTTTTGTTTCCATATAGTTGTTTTGAACGCAAATTGATAATTTAATACCATGGAAAAAACACAGAGTGAGACCTCCTTCTTATCGCCGATCTGTTTGGAGGAAAGCGAGAGAGTAGCAAAGTCAGATCGGTGACGCGCAGGCGGCACTTCTTTTTCAGAAAATGAGCGTAGCACCGCAGGAATCAATCTCTCACCGTCCCGTCAAAGATGGGCCGGCTCTGTTTGATACAAATTTAGAATAACTATTGTCATAATCGTATCTCAAGTTTCCTCTTCAACCTTTTTCATTTGAGATCATTCTGTATGCGGATAGGGATTTAGCCAACAAGCTCGGTGATGCTAAATGCAGATCAGCAGAAAATCTTCACTGCAGCGAAAATACAGTGTTTGCACGTTTTATGCCATTAAATGAAAAACACAATCATATTAAAAAATACAAAAACATTTTTATTTAAACCTCTGGATACTTTGACGAAGCTATGCCTTGGGTAGCTGCTGTAAATGCCAGCTGATCCATGTAGAAAACGTGAGTATGTGTTGCTTTATTAGGCTTTTTTGTTAAATGAAGTGGATGCCGATTCAAGAGAGAGACGAGCTGAAATGAATGGACAAGCCAGCTGTCCCACTGAAAAGCCGTTTACAGCTCAGTCGAGTAAAACCTGGCATGAATGAACCAAAAAAAAAAAAAAAAAAAAAAAAAAAGCGATGAAGGAAGGAGGAGACAAGTGTGAACTCTACTCTCTTTTCCATGTATCCTTAAGGACATGGGTGTTCCGTTCTCACACAACATCCCTCACATTTCTACACCCCCCTCCTCCTCCCTCCTTTGTAGAAAAAAAAAATACGGGAGGAGGAGGGTGAGGGAGAAAAATGAAGTCAATTATACAACACCCGGCTCTCCTCTCTGCAGCTCCCTCCTCTCCTCTCCATTACTACTACAGCTGGTGGCTCCACATGCGCGGCGCTGCTCCGTAGCCTTCACTGAGCACACCGGCTCCAGCCTGCAGGTATGTCGGCCGGTGGCTCTGACGGGAAGGCGGCTGGGCCAGCAGGTGAGTGTTTGAGAGGGGGGGGAGGGGATGCGGGGTAGTAGTCATTTATTGAATTAATTGTTACAGTGTGTAATTCAGGTCATTCCTGACTTGTGTTATGACTAGTTCAGTTTTATTTTTTTAGTCCATCCTTCGGCTGGGACAAAAAGAAAGCAGATTAAATACTTCATTAAAAAGTTATTCTGAACTTCTACCGACTGATAAGGGTGTAGTTTAACGGCAGATAACGACCCCCGTCTTGCTATTACCGTTCTTTTTTTTTGTAGTTTTAACTTTACGGGGGCATTTAGAAGCTGTGACAACACAAGCGACCCTGATGTCGGTAGAGCGGCTGCACCGACTGGAGCCGGCCGGAAGTAGCGCGTTGCTAGGCCTATCTGCCGCACCGACGACAGGAGCAGCCTCCCTGCTATTCTTATTCCCCGAAAATGTAAATTGGCAGCCGGTGAACTGTCTTGCCGGTAGCGTAGTCGCACCGGTGGAAGTCTGTCCATTCATTATTCCGTTTTACGTGCTCGTCTCCGGCGGCGGGGCGCGCTTTGTTCCGTTTTCGGGAGGGAACCACGTGACAGTATCCATGACGACTACGTTCCTTTAAACTCGACAAACGTTTTTGTTTTTTTTAACACGCCATTGTTTCTACTTTATTTTCGTTTCCTACACCTTTCCCTAACACGAAACAGTTTTTTGTTTCCATAACCTTCACTAAGGAGGCTTAATGTAGTCACGTGGTTTCACTCTCTCGTTCAGATCCTTCAAATCTGGGTCAGTGGATCAGTAGAGCAGCGCTGCCTTCACCGCTCCCTGTCGCCTACAAAACACACCACGAAAAACTACAATAATGTCGGCTATCGAAACTTTCCACAGCAGGCCCTTTCGAACGCGCTGCAACAATGCCTCTAAATATAAACTCTTTTAATCACAGAAAACATATTTTCAAACTTTAATAGGTACCGAGAAGTAAAATAAAGTACGACAGTGCCATGGGTAGACTACGTAAAGATCCCATAGAGGCCTACACACGTAGCGACTTTCCATTAACACACATTGTGATTACAAATAACTATAACACGAATCTGATGTTAAAAATACTCAATTACTTCAACTCATTTAAATTATTCTCGTAATTTAAAACGAATATTGAAACGAATTTATTCACCAGAAAGCTTATTTGAAAGTAGTCGGTACACAAGTTATTTTTACTTTTGGTAGGCTACTCCGTAAAACACTAAATCGATGTTTTATTCATAAAAAAAACCCAACAATTCTCGTAGGTTACCTCTTTATTTTTTCTTCTCCTCAGAGGAATATATTTCTATAAAAAATTAAAACCACTGATTAGTAGCATGACGGGTGTTTTTGACGGGGTTTATTTCACAATAAAGTAAAAATGAAAAGTCCAATATTAAAAAATAAATGATACTTTGCTTACTTTGACCAGTTATGCTTTAATATTTTCTGTAAAATCCCTTTAATAATAACAATCAGGTACCAAGTCATTACTGTTTTTTTAGGCTACATAAAAATGCCTGAGAGTATCTGATTCTCAATATTATAATAATAATAATAATAAAGCTTAAAAAATGGAGGTGGAAGTCCTTTACACTGAAAAATCATCTTTGTTAGACAAAATACAAATAATAAAATCAATTTTAAAAGAAAACTCAAAAAACAGTAACAAATAATTTTTTTTTAACAATTTATCACTCCTTAAAACACTTCTGTACATAATTTAAACTAATTATATGTTTCACATGTATTTGACAATTAAAAGTTAAATTTAAAATGTTTTAGCATCACAATGTATCCTGCAGCTTTTATTCTTAATTTTAAAATCATATTTAAATATGTTTTTGGACATGGGGAGGGTAATAAGAGCTTTTAAGTCAAATATCAAAAGTAAAAAAAATCACCTGGTAACCAACAACACCTACTTTCAGTATTTAGTAGTGTAAACGAATAATCTCCTCCTCTGCGTTGAAGGCCAACTAATTAGAACAAGCAAAAGTTTAAGTGTTGGCCCTATTTTTATTCTTCATGTAATTGGACAAGAAACCTTTTCAACTAAAGCATCTTATAAGTATTGGCTGCTGTTGTTAGATCTTTATGGCTTTTAAAAATATCATACATACCTACTAGGTGCTTCATTACTGGGTGATTTTATTCCAACATTTTGGGCTAACCAGATGCTTGGATGCTCCCTTTCTCTGACGTCCATTATACTTTTTTAATGAAGCAACATGCATTGTTCTTTTCCTGAGGAGTTGCAGTCAACCTGAAATAACTCAGAACATAGTGTACTGTGAGTGCAGGATTTAAGGCCTGCCTGCCTTGTCTGCATCAATCTGAAACAACCATCACAGCACTGTTGATTGTGTGTTCCTTGAAGCAGGCGGCCTGAGCTCCAGCATAATGCAATATAAATGTCCCAGGTGGTCCACTTAATGACATATTGACCTACAGCTTCAGCTGGGGAGACAGTTACAGATACTTATTTTGACTCAACATGTGACCCAGTTACACAACCAGTGTCCCCTGAATATTTACTCTGTTCCTTTATACACTTATATATGACATGGGTTATTTCAGTGTCATTGAGTTTAATGATGGTTGTTAACCTTTAACTTCCCTGCTGTATAATTTTTGTACAACAATCACTATCGCTAAAGCTACTACAATGCGTCTCCTCCTATCACCGCTGCTTCATTTGCCGACTGTATTAGCCAATAGTAGCCATGATATCTCGGATAACAAGTAAACTGATGTTGATACGTCATTAGAATAATTATCGTGACATTAATCAAATAAAGGAAACAAACACAAGCTGATGTAGATAAAATTGTTAAATGTCTTTCATCACATGGAAAAAAATCACAATACTCCAAGAAATATTACATTTATCAACTATTTCACCGATTATTGTTAGAAATAGTGTGTGTGTGTGTGTGTGTGTGTGGCGGCACAGTTTTAAGAAAATGGGGCGAACTCTGAAATGAAGAAAATTACTGTAACTTGTCATTTCTAATACTTTTGTAACACTTCCTGGTTGTTTTGCGCCTTTGTGTCTTGGGCTTTTCTTTCTTGTTGCAGGTGTTTTTGTGTTGTTTTGTGGTAAAGTTGGTTCATCTGAAGGTTCAAGTGGTCATTGTTCAGGTTACGCTGATGAAGGCTTTGCGCTGAAACCGACCGTTGTTGATCTGTACGCTGCTGCTCTACCCAGATAATAGAAACTTTAAAGGGCATGGAGTGAGCTGATTTTTCTGTTTTCTTTGTGCACCAGAAGTGTTTCTACCGTTTGAGTGTTCGCCTTTTTTTTTCTTTCTGTTTTGTAATTGTACATCTCTGTAGCGGGAATGTTAAGATGCTTTTTAGTAGATTCTTTGTGTGCCTCTTTAAGGCCTCACATGTTATTTTGTGTTTCTTCGTGATTGTTTAGAAATTCATTTTAGTTGTTTGTGTCTTTGCTGTTGAGTTGCTTCTCTCTGTTGATTTTGTGTGATGTTTTAAATGAACTTTTGTTGTCATGAAACATCTTTTTAAGTTGTTGTACATCTCCTGATAGTTGATAAGCATCTCCTGTACTTATTCGTGTGTAGTAATGGTTGTTTTTATTCTCTTTGTAGTTGTCTGTGTCATTTTGGGGATTGTATTGCGTCCCTTTAAGGTTATTTGATGTCTCTTGATAGATATAATTTGGCTCCTTTTGTGTATTTTTTCCATCTTTTTGTTGTTGTTTTGCTTGCCTCTGCAGTTGCTTTGTGTATCTTTGTCGTTCTTCTTTGACTCTTCGTTGTTGCCTTTCTCTTTCCCCGTCTCTTTTCTGGTTGTTATTTTCTTTCTTTGAGTGTTTTCTGTCTCTTTGTAGTTGTTTTGAACGTCTTTGTCATCATTACTGACCTCTTAGTGGTTGAAAGGATCTCTTTATTTTCTGTCTCTTCTTGGTCTTTGCATCTTTAGTTGTTATTTTGATGTTTTTTTTCAGCAGTAATGTATCCACTTTAGGCTAACACACTCTGGCGGTTAGCTCAAAGGCGCTAATGTTAGCATTGTACTATTACCAGAAGGCCTGCCACTATTATTCCTAAATTCATACTCCTAATCTTAGCTGGGACAAAAACTCTGTAACGTTATAATCAGTTAAGTTTTAGTAAAGAACAAAATGTTTCAAAAAACCCTGTTTTATCGCTCATTGGTGGAGCGCTCTAAAGACCAGCTTGAAGACGCTGTTGCTATGAAGGAAAGTCAGTCAGAGGTTAGCGGGCTATCACAGCATGCTAGCTCTATTGTGCGGTTATTAAGAAACCACGTGGTCGACGCTGACTCAACCAGAGTTGACCCAAAATTAAAAATGAACAGATGATAAGCTTCGTCCTCTCATTAGCGTCACATTTAACCGCCATCTGTCATCAATGTCAAAATATGTTTAATTTAAATGTAGCGAACACAAACTTACTTTCTATTTAAGGGCAAAGTCGGATAAATGTATTGAAATGTAAATGTATTCATATAGATTTATGATCTAACCAGTTGTATTTTGTGCTTTATAACTTTTTATTTTTCATTTCCTGTCGCTTCTACTGATGGCTGTAGTGAGTTTGCTTGTTGCCCCTGCTTGTTTGGCTTGACGGACCCTCACCCTCATAGTCTGACATTTTCTTTTGGAGCCCTGAGGATCTTTATGGAGCTACTGCTGAGGCATGAACTCATTACTGTTGATATAACCACAGACTAATGTAATGTTTAGGGACTAAAGTGTTGTCTGTTGTTGTATTTTGTGAGTTGTGCTCCCATCTAAAAGCGTATGGAAGCGTATCCGGGGGGGGGGGGGGGGCGTCCTTTTCATGCGTCTTTGCTGTACTCTTTGGATTAATGTTTTTCTTTGACGTATGAAACAAATCAAATCAAATTCATGAAAGCCAAAGAAGTGCTCGAACAATTCCAAGCTCCAACATTTGTGATGATGTATTACATGTTTGAATGACAAGGCACATAGAGAAAAG